GTTGAGCACATAAACCCCTCCCCTGCTGCACAGCCGGTGTGTCTGAGCAACCCCAGCACTTCGGGAGGACACTGGCCGTGGGGATGTGATGAGCAGCAGGGATGAGGATGGCTGTGGGGGCAAAGACAGGAGTGGAAAACACATCTCCTCTCCCAACATCCCACTCCTGGCTACCAGAGACTGGCTGCGCTACTGACTGAGACACTCACAGGCACTCACAGGAGGCACAAGCCTGATGCTGCTGTGTTAAGGCTGGCACAGCGGCTGTGTTCCTGCAGCAGGTCACTGCTTTGGGTCAAGTCAGTCGGGTGGAAACACTGTGTTCTTTAGAAACAGGGACCTGGGATGGCCTCCTGAGGACTTGAGGCTTCTCTGGACCAAGACCTGCCTTGGAAAGGATGTTTCCTGTGCCAACCAGGCTGCTGCATCCAAGGCGTCCAGCAAAGAGACTGCATCAAGCTTAATTCACCCCAGTGACATGAACCCTGTCAGGTATTTCCACCTCCAGCACTTTCCCAGTGAGAGCAATGAAATACCTTTATCACAAAGTGTCCTTCACTCCACCTCATCACTTTCAGTCCATCTAAGCCAGAAGCAAGGGCTAAAAAAAGGGCTTTTCCACTTCCAAAGTGCTGACAAGATGTGGCACAGGCAAAACCACTCCTGAACACAGGTATGTTCATACTGAGGACAGCTGGAGTTCATTCCCACCAGTAATAAGTTACAGCCCTCCGTCAGCAGTTACAGCTTCAACCCCCTCAAGGGAAGAGGGACGTCTGGGAAACATTCAGAGCACAGGCATTTCCCTGCGAAGCTGCTGATTTTGGGTGCCTGGTCTGAGCAACATCACTGGGGTCTGACCCTCACCCAGGGTGCAGGCACCCCTGACCATCACAGAACCACAGAATCCCAGACTGGTTTGGGTTGAAGGGACCTTAAAGCTCATCCAGCTCCAAATCCCTGCCACGGACAGAGACACCTTCCACTAGAGCAGGTTGCTCCAAGGCCCTGCCCTGAGCAGGGTAAAGGCAGTGAGAGCCTCCCGAGCCCACAGAGGGGATCAGCCCAGTGTAAGCAGACAGGGGGAAACAAATCTCCTTGGGCCTGGAGATTCCAGGATAGAGCAATCAGCCATCCATCAGAGTGACAGCCCTTAGCAAGCGGGTCCCCCGAGGCTCATACACTCACAAACCTCCATCCCGGGGGCCACGACACAGGAGACAGCAGATGGTCTGAGCTCGTTTAAGCCTTTCCCTCCTTTGATGTACCACTTAGCTATCAGCACGATAAATAGCAGCGAGACACCCATCTCGTTAAGCCAGGAAGGGAGACACCGGCTCCATCCCTCCCTTCCCTTCCCAGGGACCGGCTCTCGGCAGCTCCAAGGGGCTTTTCTGGACCAGCACAGTCCTCCCCAGTGGCTTAAAGCAAAGGCACGATGAGATGCACTCACACCCCCTCATTCTGACAGCTACCCCCCAGTCCTGCCCCCAGGCTCATCCCCTCTGCCCCATCCACCTCCACGGAAAGGAAAACCAGCTCCTTACCAAGCTTGGGCAGCTCTGCCGGTGGGTTTATCCTTGTCTCTGTCCTGCTCTCCTTGCTGGCAGCGGGTTTGTGCGAGCCTGCAGTTTTCCTTCCACCTTTACAGGTATAGGAATCCGCCATCTCTGAAAGAAGCAGGGGAGGCATTAAAATTCACTCCTTGGAGCCGGGAGCAACACATGCTGAAAGCAAGGAGAGCTGCTGGGGAGGGAGGGAAAGCCGGAATCTACCCCACAGCTTAAAGAGTCCCACAAAGAGAAGCAGCAGGACGTGATTCCCAGGATTTGTTCTAGAGTCGAGCAACGCCACAACGGACATGGCTGAAAAGCTGCTTTCATTATAGGCTGGTTTCCCCTCCACATCCAACAGCAAAGACTTTATTAGAAATGATGGGCTGCCTTCACCCCGAGAAGCAGGGAATAAATGGCTTTTCCTCGTCGTTTATTCCTCGGCTTTCATTTCAGACACCCAAAGAAAAAGAAAACCAGAGTGAGTTTTAATGAGCAGATGTAGTGATAAATTTCCAATTTTCCTTATTAATGGGGAACTGTTACAAACTGAGGATTGGGAACGTTATCTGAATTTTCTGTATTAATAATTCAATTTGGCTGCTCTATAAATAATGAACATCAGGAATTATCGCACCAGGCCCACGCCTGCTCCCGACGGAAGCGGGCAGCAGGACACCCCTCTGCTTTGGCAGTGCCATGGTGTGGATTCAAGCATCTTCCTCCCTTTCCGACAGCACAAGCAAAGACACGTCTGAGGATGGGGCTGCATCAGGAGCATCAGGCCCTTGGGATGTGATTCCCTGGACCACCACGGCTTTGAAACCTTGGATGGGATGCGATGCTGATGCTCAGCCAGGCACCGGCAGCGTTAACTATGGGAAGTGCCAGCTCGTGTCTTCTTCACCTCTGCTCAGCAATTCTCTCTCACACATACAGAGATTTTACTCCTCATCCCAAGTTCCTCCAACGAGGTCACATTTAGCATCCTTTAACCCAATGGAGAGGATGCCCTGAGCATCCCGCCTCATCCCGCCTCTCCTTGTGCCCAGAGGGATGGCAGAGGTCAGGAGTGCATCCCAGCTCATCGGCCACGCCATAGACATGAAAGACACAAAGGTCCAACAGTCCCTCCTGAGGTGCCCCAGGGACTTTCCATGTGGGATCAGGCACTGCACATCACATGCACCCAGATACTCCAAGAACTGGCAAAAGCTTCCAGCATGTGTTTAGCTGGTGACATGTAGAATCATAGAATAGTTAGGGTTGGAAAGAACCTTAAGATCATCTAGTTCCAACCACCCTGTATGTGGCTCCATGGATACAAAGGTTAATTGGATCAAGTGAGACATTCCAGCCTTGGCAACAGGTTCCCTGGCATGTGGTGGTGAACACAGGGAGTGTTTATTCAGGTAATTTGGAGTCTTTTGATGGGAGACCTGGGTAGGAGCTGCAGCCTGAGTGCCCATGGTTTCTTCCTGGGGATGCTGGTCTCTGGAGAGGGATCCCTACGGCCTCTTCCCGAATCATGGCTCCACTCTCACTTGTGTGAGACCATTACTGATCCTCCACGGATGAACATGCCAGTCCCTTCCTTCCTGTGCTGTCTCCTGGCTCCTCTGAAGAGATCCTCAGAGAAGTTGCTCAAAGAAGAAAGACTCCCGGAAGACCAGTGAGCTGAAAGCTGAAGACAAGACCTCAGTGCTTTACAACAGGGTGTAAACCAGGGGGAGACCCACACAGCCAACATGTCTGTCCAACACGTCTGTCCAACACGTCTGTCCAACTAGTGCCAAAATGCAACCATGCCCCTCGTGAGCGCTGGGGTGAAGGCTGAGCAGGACCCCACACACCAAGCAGTGAGACACCCCGGGGCAGGGCTGCTGCTGGACCACGAAGCCTCCGTGTCCACCTCGAGGAGCACTTGCAAAGGGTGACACACAGGAGCCACAGCGGTGCTGAGCATCATCTCCAACGCTGCCTTCCCCAAACCATCACCATGAGGTGCCCAGCTCTTAACACATCTATCCCCTCAAACAGATCCTTCCCATCCAGCTTAAGAAGTTCTGGACATCTTCTGGTTTTCCATGCCAAATACTTCGAATTTCCCCCCCGCCCCCCGCTTCCTATTTTTTGGCTAAATGAAAAGTAAAACTCCCAAGCAGAGCCAAATATGCTTCCTGGCCTCTGATACAACCCCAGAGATCCCAGAGGAAATGCCCCGGAGCCAGAGAGCGAATATCAGTCCATGGTTGGTTCTTTCTTTGTGATATCCAGACTTCTCACTCCTTTGTGGGTAAGACATGGTGAAACTGGGCAGCAGCCCCTGCCCTTCCCTGCTTCCATTATGGTGAACACCCTTTTGCAGGCAGCAATGGGAGAAGGCATCAGCAGGTCCTGCCTGCGAGCAGGGTGAGGACGTGGGAAGGTCGGGAATAGCAGTACCGTCACTGGTGAAGCCTCCAGCTCTTCTCAGGTAACTTCTCAGAAGTTTGCAGCAGCACTTTCGAAGTGTCCCACTGCAGCTCCAGAAGAGAATTCCCGTGTCAACACAGGAACCAGGGCAAGGTAAGTGGAGGCTGAGCAGGCGATGCTGAGAGCAGGGCTGAGAAGGAAGCCCGTGGCCACAGGAAAGAGGGAGAGAAGGCTGGGAACCTGCCACGCCAAAGGCACCGCTCCGGAGCCACCAGCACAGCCACGTGCTCCTCTGCTGGGTTGACAAGGGGCAGCAACGTCCCCATCACTCGCAGCCCCAACAGGCTCTTTCACTCCATGACGGGTCCCTCCTGCACAGCCTGGAAACTGGGAATAAAGTGGAAGAGGAGAACTAATTCCATGTATAAATGCCTGTCTGTGACCTTGGATCGGGTGCGCAGGAGCGCAAACACAGCCAGGGATGCTCGTGACCCTCTCAGCTCCACGACGTCCTCACGGCTCAAGGCGGAAAGTCACCCATGGGTGCTGACCACTAATTCTCCTGCTGGGTCTCCCAACCCAGTCCCATTTCTGCGGATGCTCCAGACCCATCCTGGTCACCCATTGATCTGCTCCAATTTACCAGCAACTCCAGGTACAGGCAATGCCAAAGGCGAGCGAGCTGCTGGGCCCGCCCACGG